ACTGCTGCGAGAATTAAGTGCCAAAGTTTTATAATTTTTAATTCTTTTCATATCAAAACTTTTGTCATTTCTCTTCGATTCTAGCAATTCGAGCGCATAATCCTCTTCCGAGCGATGCACCAGTTGCATAAACGATTTCACATTTTCGAGATCGGAGCGTTCGTTTAGGTTCGATCTCGCTATCGCTCGCTCGTTTTTAGAGAACAACGCTCTTTTCTCGCTTTAATCTATAGATCGACAGTTTGCGGCGCACAGTTTGTATATGGCTTGATTGTAACAATAAAAATTATTACCAACATCCGTGTCGACTCGTAAAGGTATTATTGACTATTTATGATTTAATTTATTATTATCCTCTGTTATCGCATATAGAGGTCTGCTCGACAAACTAAAGAAACATAAACGGATTCCAATGCGTTTCTACTTTGTAATTTCATGACTTTTATAAAGCTACGATAAGCCAAATTGATCAGTCGTATCTGACGCGTATCTAACGAATTTTCAAAATCAATTTTATTGAAAGCAAAGTATCTGTATAAAAAAATTTTATACCACATCTTTTTATTAATATTACGTGAACAGTCATCCTTTTCTTATGTCACGACATACGTACGCTTTGATGTGAGATATGAATGGAATATATTGTGGATACAGAAAATTGAATTTCAATTAAGAAAAGAGAAAATTGAATAATCAGAATTATGCATTAATGCACTGGTTGACAAGTGTTAAGGAGCAACATATTCTCTTGCATTTAAAAATGAAATAAAAATTTTTATTTTGACTTTCGATCGATTCGCTCACAATTTTATTGTTTGACTTTTCTAACATGATTGAGAAATTTTACCTTCTTACTCTGAAGGATATTGCATTTTTACGCTCTTGGTTTTTTCGGTTTCGCCTTTTCGCTTTGGTTTTCTTCTGAATTTGAAGTTACGGTGGAAAATCAGGAATGGTATCTGAGTTATACTATATTACTATATCTTAATCCAAGAGCACGAAATTAAAAGAATTATTGTTAAGTATGGCTCGAAATGTAGCCGAAATATCCAATTTTACCGTTTATTAATTTAGGTATTAAATATATATGAATATTTGCGCACAAAAGTACCGCGCCGTACTTGTCATGCACAACAAATGTGATGGAAACGATTCTGAAATATTTGAATCACGTGACATTTTGCTGCTGCTGCCTATTGTATAAGAAAAGGCCCTTGGCGGAATCTCTGGCTGCGTTCCTTTTCACGCATGACGCGCATGATATATTTATTATGGTATCCTTGTTGTTCACTCTTCACCACAAGTTAAACAAAGATGAAAGGATAAATCATGCGCATCATGCGTGAAACGCTTTGAGTATACAGACATGGAGGGAAAATGTGACTTAAAAACTATGTCCACGATGTGTGCGAGAGAGAAAGATAGACGAGTAATATTCGTCCTCTGCGCATGCGTTGATCATTTGACTGACAGAGAGAATAAAGAATCACGTGGTATCCCTCGTATACTATTCTCTCTCGCACTTCTAGTCACTCATGGGCAGACTTGCGGCCTACAAAGCCCACGTCCATGTACTGTATACTCAAAGGTGAAACGGAAGGCAGCCTCTGTGTGTTGGCAAGGATTTGTGTACGAGCCGCGGAGTGATCAGTAAGGTGGACGTTTGCGACCGAGTATTCTGCTTCTGCTTTAGAAAACTCTCATCACGACATCACGTTTTAGTATTAAATCATTCGAGTAAGTAAGCTGGGCCAAGTTTATCCCTGTACAAGCGAGTAACGATGTAATAATTCTCCAGATATTTCACTGATTCTTCGAAGGAGAAAGATTAAAATTCCGAACATATTCCTTTAAATAAAAGACGTTCTATTAATCGAGATATTAATAGGATTAATCAATTATTGAAAAATGGCTTTGAAATCTAAACTGCGATTTCAAATTTAATTAAATGAGAAATTAAATTGAAAAAATTGAAATTCGGATATCTTTAAATTGACGCGATACGTGGACATTTTTTGAAAATATTTTAATATTTAAAAATTATTAGAAATATTCATGATCTTGAGAAATAAATATTTCGTCGCGCCACGTGAATTAATGTTTTTTTATGTTTGTTCTAAGATTGTTGAAAACTAAAGAGTTCGACCTCTGTGAAGTTGGCAAAAGATTAAAATTCCGGAGATATTCCTTTAAATAAAAGACGTTCTATTAATCAAGAGATTAATAGGTTTTATTAATTGTTTAAAAATGGCTCTGAATTCTAAACCGCGATTTCAAGTATAATTAAATGAGAAATTAAAATGAAAAAACGGAAATTCTGATATTTTTATTGAAGCGATACGTGGATATTTTTTGAAAATATTTTAATATTTAAAAATTATCGTAAATATTTATTTTCTACAGAATTAAATATTGTTTCGTCGCGCCATGTAAATTAATGTTTTTTTATGTTTGTTCTGAGATTGTTGTAAACTAAAGAGTTCGTTACATTGAGATTTCAGTGGTTTTACAAGTTTTTCACCGAGTAACGATGTAATAATTCTTCAGATAATTCAGTGATTCTTCGAAGGAGAAAGATCAAAATTCCGGAGATATTATTGTAAATATAAGATGTTCGATTAATCAAGAGATTAATAGGATTAACTAATTGTTTAAAAATGGCTTGGAATTCTAAACCGCGATTTCCAGTTCAATTAAATGAGAAATTAAAATGAAAAAATGGAAATTCCGATATGTTTATTGAAGCGATACGTGGATATTTCTTGAAAATATTTTAATAATATATAAAAATTATCAGAAATATTTATGTTCTGCAGAATTAAATATTATTTCGTCGCGCCACGTGAATTAATGTTTTTTTTATGTTTCTGATACTGCTGTAAACTAAAAAGTTCGTTACATTGAGATTTCAGTGGTTTGACAATTTTATTACCGAGTAACGTTGTAGTTATTCTACAGATAATTCAGTGGTTTTTCGAAGAAAAATGATTAAAATTCCGGTTATATTTGTGCAAAAAAATAACGTTCTATTAATCGAGAGATTAATAGGATAAATTAATTATTGGAAAATTACTCTGAATTCTGAACCGCCATTTCAGTTTGATTATATACGATATTATCATGCATAGTTTTTTGATTTTCTTTTTGTTCATAATATACATATCTAATGCAATTTATGTACTTATGGAACAATCCGTTTACTCCGCGGCAGAAAGCTGCAAAGTTCTCGCCTTAATGGGGTGAGAAGTAACAACATTATTTCTCCTATGAAAACAAAAAAAATGTTACTTTTAACACCGGCCTCTTCTGTTTGTTCATTGATTGATCTGTATCTGTCTTCATACTTTATACTGTTCCTGTATCTACATATCTTTTAACAGGTTATTGTTACAATTTGGCTTGATTTCGTCTGAAGTGAGAATCTAATGGACAAGGAAAATCAAGAGATAAAAAAAAAACAAAAAAATGTTGAAAAAAAGGGTCTCTCATTGAAAGCCGTTATAAACAATTCAGAAGGGTCGAACCCACAAAGTAGTAGTTCATCCTTAAAATTAACGTGTGGTGTTAATGAATTTAATGGATGGAAAAATCGACTGCGTTCTCGGGGGTCTCGCAATGCAGCCAGCACAAAAGGAGAAAAACAAAGTTTTCGGTAAGTACGTTTTATTATATATAGCTTGTAAACCTGAAATTCGCAGGAGAACAGAAAAACTTTTCCGAGTTATTACAGAGTTTTCGTCTTATCGAAATTTGAGTAAAAGAGGGTTAACATAAAAATTTGTCTTACGGAGGGTTTGTACGAAATTTTATAATTTTTTTAGTGTAATGGCTTTTAGAGGAAAAAAATCAATATTTAACAGTGTATTATTTATTGCATACATGTGATAAATGTAACCATAAAACAAAATACCAGCCTATTACTCACGTTTACACATATAGCTACTATTTCGAATTATTAAGGTATAGCGACAATTGAAGTACGACTTATAGAGATGAACTTCTACTAGTAGAGGTCTGGCTACTTTATAAATTCGAGTTAGAGTTATAAAATATGCATCTATAAATGTCTGGCAAATAATTCCGAGTTAGGGTAGGTTTTATTTTGATTTATAAAGGTTTTCGGTAGCGGAGCGGAAGGGGATGAACATAATTTTCGTTTTACAGAAGTTTGACTGTATTAGTGTGGTTCTTATTTTTCGAGTTATAAAATTTTATTAATCTCTTAGTTTAGAATGATTTTTTTCATAAATAAAACCATCTCTGTAAAATTTCAACTTAATCGGATAACAAGAAAGGGTGCCGAAGAATGATTGATTTTTTAAGATAAATGTGTATTTTAAGTAATAATTTCTTAAATAGAACTCCATTTTTTATTGCGTATTCTTTTAACATTCTTTTGTATCATGTATATGGTGTCCGCTACTCAATGGTACAGCGCTCGTGGGCAGGTAGAGTGGACAAAACTGAACAAAAAGTTTTGTACTATTTTGCGATCTTCGCAATAGTTTTCGAGATATTAATGTATAAAGCTCGTCAAATCTGAACGCGCGGCGAGATATGCCTGCTCGCCGCGACCCGCAGAAGCTTCCCCCGCGCGCCTAGCGCGCGGCGCGTGGTGGGGGTAATTAATTTAACTCCACTACGCGATCGCCTAGCGCGTAGCGCGAAGTGGGGGTAATTGCACGCTTATCAATGCCGCGGCTCACTAGGCGCGCGGGGGAAGCGAGTGCGGTCCGCGGCGGGCGGGCAGGCGTATCACGCCGCGGATTCAGATTCGACGAGCTTTATACATATATTAATATCTCGAAAACTATTGTGAAGATCGCAAAATGGTACAGGACTTTTTTGTTCAGTTTGATCCACTCTACCTGCCCACAAGCGCTGTACCATTGAGTAGCGGACACCCTGTATATATGTATATATTTTTTAATTATTTATTTTAAATATATTAATCATTTTTTAAATTAAAATAAATTATTAAAATATAAATATGTTAATATAGAGATCAAAGCGACGATGCTATACTTCACGAAAAAAAAATCGATGACAGTAAACAGGCCAAAAATGACACTCCAAAAAACGATGGAAAAAAACTTATAATAACTCCAGAAAAGACAAAAGAATTAAGATCCAATTTTTCTAGTAATAAAAATGTAAATGTTACTAGGAGAAAAAATAATATTGACTGCATAGACGTGGGAAATAAAGTTGAAGCACATGGCGAGCTTGAGCTCAGGCATTTTTATTTTATAATATGCCAAATATACAAAATATATTTTTATACGTATTATAATACTGTAATTTGTTTCCCAAACATATGCATTGCCCGATAAAGAGCGGAGAGTACAAGAATCTTCGCGCCAGCATAAAGACGAAATTGATCATAAGGCGTTGACACGTGATTCAGAAAATACTTTAGTGTCACATAGTAGTCCCAGTAATAAAAAAACCAGCTCAATAAAAAAGTCGCATTTAATAAAAGAATTCTCAGAAAATCCAAATGATCTTCTCTATTCGATACCAAATACATCAAGACTTAAATCAAGAAAGGGTAAACAAGCTCTAATCGCAAGAGAAAATGAATTTACTGAAATTGTAAATGAATTAAATGTATTGCTTGAATCTTATCCATCAGAGGATGAAAAAGCACAAGAAATTAATTACCTCAATGTGCCATTATATCCATTCCAACAATATGGAGTTTTATTTATGTTGTGGCGCGAAGCGCAAGTTCCATCCGGTGGCATATTGGGTATAAATATTTATAAGAAATATCAATTTATATTATATTTATATTAAGTAATTTTTAATTAATTTTGCATTGTAAACTTTTTCTTACAGCGGATGACTCGGATGACTTAGGAAAAATTTGTTCCATGCTAACTTTAATTATAGCCATGAAAAATGAAAGTAACCTTGATATCGAAAACAAAAACAAAAATGAATCTTCATGTAAGTTTTACAGAATTTTAATAATATTATATCTATATTATAAATTTATATCTATACGTATAGTAACAAATTTCCCTGTGTCTTTTACTTTTACGATTACAGTTTCCAGAGGAGGTACTTTAATACTGTGTTATACGAGTTTCAAGTCATCGCATTGGGAAAATGAAGCGTTGAACAGATGCAAACACGATCCACTGTCTGTAGTAGTGTATAAATTTAACATTAAACAACAAAACTTAGAATTTGAAAAGTATGATGTCGTTGTCACCACGCACAGCATGTTGTGTTCAGAATTTAAAAAAGAAAATTCTCCATTTTTCAAGGTATGTTATTGACAGTAACAATATTATTATATCAATCCAATTTTTAAATTTATGGGCAGGTTTTATAAAACCACAATAAATGATACAATTATTAATATCATTGATTATTTATGCTTTATTAAGACATGATTTTTACAATAAGAATTGAGTGGGGTTTTTTACATTGTTACAATTGTACAGACGGGGACAAGAATGCCTTAACACTCGAAGTTGCGCGTATCGAGCGTGTTCCAATCAGAAACGCGTCTTCAGAGCGCGTTCCAATGAAAAACGCGTTCTTCTCTCATCGCGTAATTTCAAGTGTTAAGGCGATCCTAAAATCGTCCGTTTTATCAACTGAACGTGATTATTTTCCAACACATAATAAACATAATTAAAGGCTACAGATTAAAAAATCCGTCTTCACGATTAAAGTATAGGCATCAATGTAGTTCCCGCTGGTAGAGATTATGCTGAGAACGCAAAAAATTTATGAAATTTAGATCTCCGTTACCTTTTCTTTGTCCAACATGGCGTCTAGAGCTATCACATGTGCCAATATTTGCTTCGTACAACAATTTGGCAGTTTGTTGGTACAAAATGATATTAGCCGGAACTACGAATTACATGTGCAAACAATGTTGAGTTTATAAAATTAGGCTTGGATGCCTAATAAAAAAGCTGTACGTTCGTGAAAATTTGTTACGATGTGTGCGTGAGATATCGATATGGTAGTAAATATGAACACATCACTACACACTACTACATCAATATCGCACGCATACATACTCATAAATCGTCGATAAAACAGCGAATTTTTGAAGTTTGATCTCGGGTTTAGGATCCCCTTAAGGCATTCGTGTCCCCGTCTGTACAATTGATAGTAAAATGTTTAGATTTTTGATGCATTTTATTTTTCTTGTAAAAAATCAAATCAAAAGGTTATTTCTTTTAGTGACAATTCTTATCAAAAGAATCACTCGACATTTTTAATTTCTTGTAAATGTAAGAATAAATGGAAAAGGGTGACTCTCTTTGAACAGCGATTTTATTCATGGTATGCTTACACGCGATGACGAACTGTAAGAGTATATATAAAAGAACGCGGGAGGGCGCTCCGTTCGAGCGCTGGTACTGCCACGGTTATCCGCAATGTCATGCGCGGGATTTGAAATCGCGAACCTCTTCAGTAAATCATTTATTTTTATTTCGATAGTGTCACGACATAAAAATCTGAAATGGAAACGTAAATATATTAAAATAAACTTTATAGGAAATATACGTGTGCAGAAATCAAATGCATTATACTTACTTATAAATATACACATTTTTTTCTGTTCCATTTGATAAACTTTATTCACAACTGCCTCTTCTAGTTATTGTCGATCCCAAGATACATCCACAAATATCAAATGGTTTACACCCGTAAGATTAAATCCCATTCCACCAACTAGTAGAGACAGTAATAATATCTTGGGATTTGTTGTATTATTAAATCTGTTTGAATCCTAGAAAAAAAATAAGCATTAATTTTTTTAATCTAATAAAATACAATTAAAATTACATAATATCCATACTTCTCGACATTTGGATTTAATTTCTCCAGTTAATTGACCGTACGTGGCGCCGTCTATTGAGGACATGCAGATGTGAGGCAATTATATGCAGTTGTTGCGTCCACTGGGAGACGATAATTAATTTATCATTTCCTTTTTCTATTATGTCTTTAACTAATTGTATGACTGCCCTTGTCTAAATAAGTATATTGCATTAATCACACAAAATAAAATCTTTCGGGTTATATATAATTGCAATTTACCTTTGAACTAATAAAATCATCATTTAACACTCTTGAAAAATGTAAATTTTCCATTATCATACGCATACTGTCGGTATAATTTTTGTTGGCCTTTTCAACTGCATTGTTTATACTTTTACTGTATAATTGCTTCACAATTTTCTTGTCCGGACTTTTATAGATCAAGGTCAGGTTACAACATGATTGGCGTAATCGTAACGGAAGCAAAAAAATTTCACACAAATTTATGTTGGTGTTTATTGATTTATTTTGTAGTTCAATGGACTGTGTTGGTTTGTCTTGAAAAAAAAAGACAATTATGCGTTAAAATAAATAAGATACAGTATATTACTAATTCAAATAAAATCTTTCTTGCTTGAATTTGAGAAAAAACAGGTTTATTATACTTACCATCGTTCCACTTTAACTTTTGTTGTTTTAAAAAATCTAGCAACTTATGACAAAAAACCATAAATTTTTTTATATGTTGGATTTTTGGAGCAGCCACGTAGGTTTTTCGTGCGGGTCACATGAAGCAACACGTTTTGGTTTTTCCAAGCAATATATATTTCTGACAAATAAGAAAGATAGAAAACACAGCTACACACTTGTGCGTATTTCGTTACACGGCTGAGTCCGAAACACGCAGAAAATTGATCGTCACGGTCGCATGTCCTGCCGGTCCGATGTTCCGAGAGAGAGGGCGAGCCTCTCCTTTTGCCGGCAAGCTCCGCGCTCCCTTGCTCCGATTTCAGTGGCCTGCGCCCGCGCGATTATCTGGAGCATCCGAGTGCTCCGGCGCTCGATTTGAAATTGGCTTTATTTTTCCCTTTTTCCAACATTATATATCAATTCTTCTTTGTGGTCAAGTTTAATCTCATTCTCCGTGACAATTTAGGCAAATGTATGTGGCCTTCTGTTACTAAAACTTGTTTAATTCGTCTCAACATAATCGTCTTCATCAACAACATTAATCTTTGATGACCCACAGCGTCATTGTGTATCCAGTATTTTCAAGTGCAATAATCATTGAATGGCGCGTATTTTAGAAAAGTCCATATAGCATATAAATTTTCTTCTGCGCTTTCTATAGGTTTGTTGGTAACAGCCCAACGTTTGCGGGCTGAGAGCGCACAAGCTGCTTGACACATTTGGTTTGTGTTTTTTCATTTCGTGAGCATCAAAAAGTATGACCCTTTTCCAGTGAATCTGCAAAGAAATTTCAATTAAATTCAAAACTTATATACTATACATTATTAAAATATTATAATAATAAGTTATTGATCAAATTTACAATATTAATATTAACAACGTAATATTGTTACGTCAATAACATAATATAGTAGAGTAATATCTGTTTCAAAGGCATTATGTATCACGTGTAATGGAGATAATAAAAGAGAAAGAGAGAGAGAGAGAGAGAGGAAGATGAGAGTAGTGATGAGGTGGGAGAGGTGGGGGACGGGCCCACTAAGAGAAATAACGTGGTGTGTGCAGTTTGCAAGCGTCTTTCTATTTTCTAAAAATGTTGCGCTCTCTGTCTTTTTGGGGCTTGAGGGGGGTCAGGTTAATTGCGAAAAGCGAAACATTTGGCGTCGAGCTGTTGGTATGAAATCTAAAGTATATGTAATGCGAACTGTAGATTTTCATACCGGCAGTATATATTAAATTAAATGTATCAAAAAATAAAATATTTTGTATGTAATAAGACTGTAACTGTCTATCTTACAAATTAATTGTAATGTATAGAAATTTTTATTGCTCCACGACTTTAATAACGTATATATATACGTTATAAAAATTAAATAAGATTATTAAATACTAATAAATAATATAAAAATAATATAAAAATATATAAAAATATAAATTGTCCTAATTTATATATAGATATATATATAATAAAACAATATATCATTGTTAATCAACCATCATTGTTTATCATTGTTAATTATTTCATATTTGTACTTACAATAAGTTTTATAAGCGAAACTACAAATCAATCCAGAATGTTTGATTCTTAATTACTTTTTCCTTTTTTTTTTCATTTATTTTGTACAATATGTTTGTGGATAATTACATATGTATAATGTTATTTATAAACATAATTTTTTTTCATAAATAGATTGATGTATTGTTATGCGAACTATGTAAAATGAAAGAAAAAGTCATAAAGTGTGGCTAATAAAAGATATGAAATATTATGTATGTCATTATGTATTTTTGTTATTAATGTTAACGTATTACCTTATTCACTCAATAACGAGAAAGAGTAGAGTGATATACTAGTAAGAGAAAATTTTAAATTAATTGTTGAGGCGAATGGTTAAGAAATTATGTGTTCAATATTATGTATTAAAAATATTTATGTCTTCTTTCAGAAGGATGTTTTTATTATTATATACTCTTAATTATAAAGAATAGAAATTTTATTCCTTTAGCGTATACTCTAATTAATTATATATTTTTTTGTTATTCTGTCAGTTTTTCTAACAATTACATTGCAAGCAACTCAGTTTTCTCAGAAATTGGCTTTCTGTCATTGAAAATAATACATTTTGGGTCTTTTAACGAACATCCGCTATATAAAATGAGAACTTACCGACGTTGGGTCGATAACGACGAATCCGCACGTACGGTAATTCGGAAAAGACATTAGCAATAATTGTATTTCAGACAATGAATAATACATAA